TGGTTACAGAGAAGTCGCAAAGTGCTGTCCCAGTGGTTTTAAAGCATTTCCAGCCCTTGCATCCTCGTGCACTCAATCACTTTCCAGGTGATATCAATGGCTCAGGGTTTAGGGAGGACATCGAGATTCAGCCAAATTGTAAAAAACGAGGTTGCCATTGTTTGGTAGTTCATGGGTTAACTGAATTTTTGCCTCCACCCAGCTGGCACCGCGTGCAGGTGAAGGGGATTCTCTCCAACGGGATGTATGTCCCGTTTACGAGTTGGACTACGGCAAACATGAGCTGGTCCGCAATAATCTCCTCCAACCGCTGATCGAGGAATTCAGACAGCTGCCCTTCCAGGCGATCACTGCACAGCTGGCGGGTAAGTTCCATCACACGGGGTCGTTTAGTTACCTTAAACACACAGTATGTTAATTCTGCCGCCAGCGGGCTCTTGATCAAAACAATCACCACAGATGATGTTGGCGGGGATTCCCTGCTACTCCACCCACCAATCACTGATGCCTCCTGCTGTTGCTCCTGCAGGTTTGACAAAGACTCAGTGGACGGAGGAGGCCGCCATGTTGTTCAGGAACCACGTGGAGGGGCGAGCGCTAGTGGCCCAGGTGGAGAGTGAACAGGAGGACGTCAAAGGTGAGCTCGGGGGACGCAGGTTGACGGTGTACCTGGTGGACACCACAGTGCAGGAGAGGGACCTGTGGATTCACAGCATCATGGCCGACCTTGGCGGGGAGCTGTCCTCGGCAGCTTAGGGCACCGTCTCATGCCTCTGACTCTCAGCAAGTATTTTTTAGAACCACAACTTTTCTGTTTCCTGGTTCTTTCTTTTCTAAAACCTGCTGAGAATGTTCAGTGAACTTTAAAAAAAGAAAAGTCACTCCTCTGCTCTTGTTTTTTTTCCATGTTGTTGTTTTTTTTCCTCTCCATCACGGACTTTAAAGGCGCGAGCGGGAAAGGGCAAGAGTTATTTTTTTTCTGCATCGCGTGACTGAAAAAGCGGATTAATCTCAAAAACTTTCAAATGAATGAGGAAGATGGAAAACATTCTTTACCGTCAAATGTTGCTCCATCTGAACTCAGGCCTAATATTCAGCAACGTTTCTTTTCAGGTATCACATCACGTGTGTGTTGCATGGTTTGTGTGTTGTTAAGACTCTCATGTTATTACGATTTCTGTTTGCTGTGCCTCTTGTAGACGTTGGTGTGGCTGATTTTGCACTTAGTAGTGTGTAAATATGTTTTAAGATGAACCTAAAAGGCCTTACTTTAAAAACGTTGGTCATGTACATACCTGTTAAAACACACGTGTTGCTCGGCTGGAGAAAAAAAAGTCAAGATTTTATTTGGTGTGAAAAGCTGTTCAGAAGGATTTCAGGATTTGTTCTGTTAAAAGGAGGGTCTAATTTGAAAGCATTACATTGGTTTGTTTATGTTCTGGCAGTGTGGGCTGCTATTTGTCAAATGTCAAGCGCCACACTGTCACGATGATGTAACTGAAGCAGATGTGATAAAAAATGATGTTTACTACTTTGTTTGTGGAAAATTATAATAATAATAATACATGAGACGTATATAGAGTCATTCAAAACACTCCAAGATGCTGGAGGTTTGTGTCAGCAGACATGAGAGTGCAGGTGGGAGTGTGCCGGTGGAGGAGCTCAGACAGATGAGGGGGGGAGCGAGGTCATGGAGGGCTGAAGTTAGCTCACCTCTGCAAAACAACCAGACCACCCAGGTGAGCTTTAATCACAACACTTAAAAACAAAGTTACTTAATTAGTTTCAAACACTGAAACTTCAAGGTCACATATTATGCTAAATCCACTGCATCTTTCTCTAACAATAATATGTGTCTCTAGTCTGTATTCAAACCCCCGAATGATGAGAAAAGTCCATCCTCTCCGTCTTTTGTCTGCTCTACTTTTCAGGAAATGTGTGCTCAAACAGGCTGTTTGGAGATTTTCCCTTAATGACATCACAAAGGGTAGTAACCCCTCCCCCAGGTGGGTGACACTCCCACAGCTAGGTGTTTGTTCTGCCCTCTGAGTCTGCCTTCTCATCATAAATAGAAGATGGAGCGAGAAAGCCTGAGACACCCAAGCCCTTCCAGAGAGGGGGCATGGTCATATGCAGTTCATTTACATATTTAAAGGTACAGACACAGAAACAGCCTGTTCTGAGCAGGGCTGAATTAGAGGGGTTTATAGACATGATCAAATACAGGATCACAGTGGATTTAGAACAAGAAACTTCACAGACATGTTTTGAGGAGCTCTGAGACTTATTTAAACTGGTTGAATAGGAGGAGAATGTGACCTTTAAATAATTTGCAGCTTTATGAGGGGCGACAATATGGTCATGGCAACTGCATACTGAGATGTCTGAGAGTTTGTTAAAGTGAAATGAGACATTCAAAGATGCAGCAGTGTCTTTTTACATCACTGTGACTACAGGGAGACACTGAGGACCACTATCTACGGTGAGACTGAAGGGACAAAATAACTAGAGATTAATCTTGAATTTAAAAAACTAATTTCAGACCTTAATGAGTTGTGATGAACTAGAAGATGCTGACTGTTCTTATATGTATATAATTGTTGAATATATACAGTATCTATTAGACTTTTCTAACTAAGTATGGTCAAACTGAGAACTAGTGCGTTTCGAATTTCCTGGCTGAGCACAGACACTTCCTGTAGTGCTTGCTGGTTGCCTGGCAACCGATGTGTACGGAAAAATGTTTCCTCCATTAGCACCAAGCTTAATCTAACTCTTAATGCTCCAACAAATAAAAGTTTAATAAAAAAATCCTAATTACATTTTTAACATATTTTGAGGTATTTTAATAGTTTTACAAATTAATTTTACATTTCAACGAGGACTTAACCATTCCAAGTCAGCTCGGCTTGACTTGGACTGTCAGCCTACTATCTATCTGCTCTAATTTAATTTGTCCGACTTCGTGACGTCACTGGAGTGACAGAGCAGCCGTGCTGGGGGGAGGAGGAGGAGGAGGAGGATCTCTCCCCACAAGTTTACTTTGCCCTTTGAGGGAGATGAGTTTCAGCCTCAACAAACGCGCCGTGAGAGGACCGGTGCGTGGGGAGTAAAAAGCTTGAGAGCACGCTGAAATCTGCTGAATTCAGGATTACCGGCGGGCCATGGACGCTTCGGTGTAGCGGAGTTTGTGTGCGGATTCCCGGGTTGTGCGCCTGCAGCTGAGCGGACCGCGCAGCGCGACTCCAGGCGGCTCTGAAGGAAACCATATCTGGTCAAAGTATTCGTTGCTGTCACACAGCGGGACCGTCCGGCTATAAATAGCGCTGGAGGAGGAGGTACGGAAATAAATGCAAAAATGATACTGGAGGCTGTGAAATAGTCAAATTAGCGAGGGCAGCACACGAAGTTTGAAAGAGTGTTAGTGTGCACTTAAAAAAAAAATACTCATAAAACATAAGTTTCCACGTGGTCTTTTGGGATTAAAGAGAAAGCTATGATTTTACACTTGTTCTCCCTCCTGTGTGGAAATGCTTTACTGGCTGCTGAGTCTAAATGGCACCCTTCAGGTCTCACAGTCAGAGTCTTTAGTAGGCCTACACACAGTGTAGTAGTGCAGGGTAGACGCAGCTATAAGGAGTTTACTTATTTTTCAGTCTCCACAGGGTATACCCATTTCTAAATCTCCTCTGATTAACACCAGTGATTGTTTGACAGTACTCAGTAGTATGCTACAGTTTTCCCCCCTACTCTGTCTCTAATTGGCTAACTTGCACACAAACTAAATATATAAGAGTAGTATTACATGACACGTTTATAACAGGCTATTTTTCCTTTGCTTAAAAAAATTATACCCACTTTTTTAGGCACCACTGCTTGTACCCTGTGCCTGCATTACAGGGTACTCTCTCTACAAGATATTGGTGAATCTCTATATATAGAGACCAACTTAATGCCAGCTGTGCAGCTGTTTGAATGCATTCATCAGAGTGCTGCTGTATCTATTAACCTCTCTGTGGAAGCTCGACTGACTTATTAAGACGATTTAAAAAAGGCTTGAGCTCAGATGCGACGATGTCACTTTCTGTATAAAATCTTCTTGCATAATCGGGCTGTCAGTCAACAAGATGTGCGAGATGCAACAGTTGTCTGCCGGCATGTCGATCGTCAGCTCCGTTGTGACCTACATTCATCACTGTAGAGTTAATGGAGATCTGTAACCATGGTTACCTGGAAAGTTGTTGTTTTCCTCTTTGTTTCGTTTATAGAAACCTCCTGAGTAGACTTTGTGTTTCACTGACACAGGAGGTCATCACTCTGGAGCCGTTTGTTTCTAATCTATTGCGGCATGGAGTTTAATTTTCTTACTTTTTCTAATTTTTCCTAACTTGCGTATGTGAGCTCTTCTTCTCTTGGATAAGTAATGCATCATATCTACCTTTTACCTTAAAGTGACACTGATGGTTAAAGTGATCAGAGACATTTTTTGACCTTTGCAAGTCCATTACGACGACGAGAGCTTATTTTACAGTCCATGATATAGAAGCTCACACAGGGCCCCAAAGTGGAGACCTACACGACACAGGAGGGAACCACCAGTGATGAGTTTAGTTTCCTTGGCACTTAAAATAAGTCAAATGAGAGAAGAAGAAAAACTTTATTTATAAAACACCTTTAAAAACACGACTTAACAAAGTTCTGCAGAATCAAAATACAGAAAAACATGAACAACAAAAAAGAATCCAAACCATCACTAGACCCATCGCGAGATCCATCATAAGTACAATTATTAGAGCAATCAGTAGAACCATCATTAGACACATTATCACAAGATCCATCAGAACCATCACTAGACCTGTTAGAAGAACCATCACACCATCACCGCAAGATCCATCATTAGACCCATCAGAACCATCACTAGACCTGTTATAAGAACCATCATCAACTCAGCTTTATTTATATAGCACCTTTCATAAATAAAAACATGCAGCCCAAAGTGCTTCACAAAAGAACAGAATTAAAACACAAAGAATGTCAAATACAAAAAATTGACATTTTAGTACTGACATGAAATAAAACGATATTAAATAACTCCTAATTAAAAGCCAGATTAAAAAGGCAGGTCTTCAGTTTGAGTTTAAAAACACCCGGAGAGCTTTCTGTTCTGATGTCCAGAAGCAGCGAGTTCCATAGTTTGGGGGCATAAAAACAGAAAGCTCTCTCCCCGGTGCTCATGTGGGTCACATGAGGGACGTTTATCAGACCCATCTTTAGACCCATCAGAACCTTCACTAAACCTGTAATAAAAACCATCATAAGAAACATCAGAACCATCATCAGACCTGTTATAAGAACCATCACTAGACCCATCGCAAGATCCATGATGTCATTGTAAGAACAATCAGTAGAACCATCATCAGAACCATCACTAGACCCGTCATCAGAACCATTGTTAGACCCATCGTCACATTATCACAAGAACCATCAGAAGACCCATCAGTAGAACCATAGTAAGAGCCATCAGAACCCTCATAAGACCCACAGCAAGATCTATCATCAGAACCATCAGACCCATCATAAGAACCTTTAGAAGAACCATTACAAGATCCATCATGAGAACCATAAGAACCATCACTAGACCCGTCATCAGATCCATCACTAGACCCATCATAAGAACTTTTAGAAGAACCATCATGAGAACAAACATGAGAACTATCAGAACCATCAGTAGACCCGTTATAAAAACCATCGCTGTAACACCTGTTGGTTTGCGGTTTTCACTTCTGTCAGAGAAGCCAGCACTTCAACAGAGCATGTTTCCTTAATGTCCGATCATGTAGTAAGGCCACTTTATCATTTAATCCACACTCAGATCTGACTGATTGGACCTTAAATCCAGGAATACACAGGAAACAGAAACACAAGGATACAATCGACAAAATGAAACAGGAAATCAAATTTCAGTAATAAAACAAAGGAATCAACGGACTAAACGACGGTAAATCGTGAATCCAGTTTTTGGCAGCTCTGAGCGCACGAGTGAGTTTTACACAGATCTTCTCTGCTGTGTTTATGTTAAAAATCGAGCTGAAAGAGACGCCATTATGGCTCTTTGCACTGCAGGAGCGGGCTGCATGCTGACCAGTTGCCGTGTGACATCAGTGTGAAAGTTTAACACCCGGGCTTCTTGACTGATGATCGTGAATCAGTGCTGCTATTCTTAGAGGTTTGAGGAATGGATAGGACTAGTGTAGAGGTCAAAGGTAGGTAAGACTTAGTGTTTTTGACTTTACAGGCTACCGTCTGGTTATTCAGAGAGTCTCTCTTTCTGCCCCGTGAACATCCAGCGGAGCAGAAGTGTGTAGAATCGTTGTAAAAACAAGCACAGGTCTGGTTGATTTCAAGAGAGCTTGTCGGACTCTTCCAGCAGCATTTATTGGACTTCAGCCCAGTTCTTCTCTGGTTTTGGAAACATGTCATGTCACAGAGCAAAGGGAACAAAAGAAAGGCACACTTGACCCAACCTTTTAGGAGGTTATCAGAAACACACGTGCTGACATAAGATCAAAAAGAGATGCTTTCAACCATATACAACACATCAACATGTTCTCCTCTTTGGGCGAGTTTTCAAGCACAATCTTTTCCCGCCTAATTTAACAGCAGTTGGTTTTAAGTTATTTCTAGACGTGTCATGTCGACGTCTATCAGCCGAAGTAGTTCACAACATGTCTAAAACCCTGAGACATACTTTTAAGGACCAGGGGTTTAGACAGCAGCTTGCATGCTAAGCATTTGGTGCTGTGACCCAAAAAACCATCAGCTGCAGTTCATCCATCATCAGTTATCTGCCCTGCAACGTAGAGAAGGGTTAGAGAGGACAACAGTTCTGTAGTCGGTCCTGCAGGCCCGGTTCTAGACTGCTTTGCCTGGGGGGCATTAAGTAATGTTGACTGGGATAGTGTTCTATAGGACTGTAGGCCAAAAGATGCACGGTTCTATGTTATCTAAATCTAAAGCCAAAGAATATAATAATGCAAATAGCCATTAATGTATTTAATTTTAAACCTCAGAGAGAGCGAGAGAGAGAGAGAGAAGAAAGACAGCTGACACCCTCAACCCTTCCTCAATGACCCCCCCCCCCCCCCACCCTCCTCCCCAAATGTAAGACATGTTAAACCCTTTTGTTTCTGAATAATTGAATGATGCAATCCTGGATGTTCTTTGTCGGTCCAGAGTGATTCCTTGATTCAAATGTCCAGATTCATACACCCAACACTTAAATAAAAGCCTTAATATGGGCAGAGGACGTCACCTGTTAGATATGGTAAAACATAAGAGAAAACGTTGGCACTGAGGGAGTCTCACACCTAAAGAATATAAAATAATATAGTATCAGCAATATGCAAAATAGTTGTTTTAAACATCGACTCTGATTTTCACACCTCCGCTGTAAACACTGCTGACCATGAGATTCACTCTGCAGAAAGCGGTTTCAGATTTTTTATCAGAAAAAAATAAACTTAACCATAAGTCAGCCTGTCCATTTGAGACAGGCTGCATGGTGGTGCAGTGCTTAGTGGGGCTGTTACCTCACAGCGAGGAGGTTCCTGGTTTGATGAATGCTCAGGACGAAATCTGCAAAGAAATTAGATGAACTGCTTTGTCCACAGGGGCGCAAAAGTGGTCACAATTCTTCTTTTTTTTTAAGTCCAACTCTGCTGAAAAGTAATCCACAGCCACAGGGTGGCAATATATAATAGAATATAATGTGGCTGTTAGTTTAAGACTTAAGCAAAAGTGAGCAGTTTTAAAGATTTATTTTTGGGCTTTTTGTGCCTTTGTTAGAGAGATAGGACAGTTGATAGAGATGGAATTATGGGAGAGAATGAGTATGGGACTTGCAGGAAAGGATCCACTGGTCAGACTCGAACCCGGGTCGTCCACCCGGAGGACTATAGCCTCTGTACATGGGGTGCGCACACTAACGACTAGGCTACCGGCGCCCCAAGTGAACAGTTTTAAACTTGTGGAGGTAAGACAGTTGAAGGTCTGTCTGTTGAAAGCATCACTTGGGTTGGATTCTTCCAAATACTTCATCTAGTCCCGCTTTAGTGTGATAGATAACATTTCCAATATGGTGACCGCCATCATTGCTCTTCAAAACAATGCTTTAAAAACTAGTGGGAGACGTCATTACGTCCATGTTTTACACCAAACTCTGGTTGATTGGGTTCCTCAAAGCAGCCTGAAAGCTTACTCATGTTCTTGAATTTCTCAAAATGTAAAATCGATCCATTTCAAGCAGATACCCAAAAGAAATCTAGCTACTAAATCTTAGAATTTAAAAAAGGTTCATCTTCCTCCTGAGCCAAACACGTCCATGTGGAATGTGAGTTGTAAATCTGAATCATCAGTACACCTGCATCAGCTGACCTTCAAAGGTCACGCCCCCTCAGATATTGTAGGTCAAGCAGAAGCTACTTTAAAAGGTAAAAAAGTTTTTACGACATGGCATGAAATTAAAGAAAGAAGACCTTCTATGCCAAACAGAGATCTGAATATAATAAGAACGTCTGGACGACCTACTGTAACTCTTCCTCCCTTACTTTAAGTGATTAATCCCTCCACTCTTCTTCCTCCTCCAGGACCGACTCTTTGCCAAGGAGCGCTGCAGGGCACTTGATGTTCTGTTGCTTTTATATACCTGAGCTGGGGGGACACTGAGGTGAGTAGTTAAGTTTGTTTGTGGGTAAAAACAGACACTATGTGACATCATGATTCATTTTAAAAGTGCTCTCTCTGCTCATTCTGTCTGCAGATAAAGATTCTTGTTTCCAAACTTTGGGATCCCTGTGAGCCTCTGGTTTCCTACATTTGATCTTTCTCGTTTGGAAGGGTTATCGAGGTGAGAGAGTTACAGCCCGACCGATTAATCAGCATGCCGATAATATCGGCCGATATTAGCATTTCAAGCATTTCGGTATCTGCTAAATTTACCTCCAAAATACACCAGACAAATACCATGTAATTTGAGTATCATTGTAGTACACTAGCATGTCTCTTCCTGGCTGTCACCAGCAGAGGGCGCTCTATGGATTACAACTAGGGCCCGACTGAGTTTTTGAGGCTGATACTGATATCGATATTAGGAAGAGAAAAAATCTGATACTGATAATTTGGCTGATACATTTCTTTGATCTTTGTTCCATATTTAGAGATGGATAGATATGATACACAGATTTATTGTGTTGATCCCTGAAATGCAATTATCAAACACTTGTAGAAAACAGATACATTTTAACCCAAAGATGGTCACTCGACTGGACACTGCTTGTTGTAATCCAAACAGCGCCCTCTGCTGGTGGCAGAGAACTGCTAGTGTAACACAATGAAACTCAAATTAAATTATCTTTCACTGGTAAATAAATTGAGTAATATCGGCGCATATCAGAGATAAAATTAGCCGATACCGATAGTCACTGGATACGCTTATATAAGCCAATATTATCAGCTGGCCGATTAATCGGCCGGGCTCCAAGTACAACAAGCATCAACACTCTCCAGAGTGTCGAGCGGTGATGCACATTCATGCTCAGTTACTTTCCAGTTGAGTGACCATCTTGTCTTCATTTTATATCTTTTCCAAATGTTTGATAACTGCATTTGAGGGATCAACCTAATAAACTATATACCTCTACAGATCTTAGAAAGATATCTGCAGGTAAATTGGCATCAGATTTTCTCTCTTCTTTATATCAATATTGGTGTCGGCCCCAAAATCCCGTATCGGTCGGTTCCTAGAGAGAACTATGGTAAAACTCAACTGCTTTTGTGTTTCTGCAGTCAATTTCTCTTTGCAACACTAAAAATCACATCTCTGAAAAATCTCCAAAATGTCAACCTTACATGCAAAAATTTCAGAAAGATAAAAAAATCCTAAAGTAAAAGTTTGGTTTTCTTTCTTTTCACATCCCATGAAGCAACTTGAAGGTTAAAAAATCCATCCTACTCCATCTAAATGTTTGAGATGAAGACACTGATTCTCTTTTCCACAGAGGTGTGCTGTCCATCATGTCGGTGCTGAAGAAGGAGATGGAGAAATACAGGGACATAGACGAGGACGAGCTGCTGAAGAAGCTGTCGGAGGAAGAGCTGCAGCGATTAGAGGATGAGTTAGAGGAGCTGGATCCTGACGTAAGTTTAGAATATAGAGCCCATAAGGAGGAGTTCATGTCACTTTGTTGGTGTCAGCGGAAAGTGATGTGGTCACACAGGCTAAACATCGCCCCCTGATGTATTACAGTGCAGTATGGTGTGTAGTCCTATATACCTGTGTTTGCATTTATATTGCAGTGAGCTTATCTCTGGTTCTTTGCAGTCCAACGGTTTTAAATTCCAAACATTATAATGCCTCATCACTGAAGGTTGTAGTATAAACGATGCTGCCACAGCGTTAGTACAAAGCAGCTGATAAAAGGTGCTTTGAGTGCCACATCAGCTGTTTTCACACGTGCACTCCTGCAAATATCTAGATCCTTTCAGGAGGACTGCTCCTGAAATCCTCCTGATCTGGTTGTTCACACATGCACCTCACAGCAGGAGACTATCGCTGTCAGTAGCGGACGAATCAACAGACTCCTCGATACGACGCTGTAATGAGAATATGTGTCTCTAAAGATTTATTTTTGGGCTTTTTGTGCCTTTATTGTAGAGATCGGACAGTGGATAGAGTTGAAAATCAGGGAGTGAGAGAGTGGGGAATGAGATGCAGGAAAGGAGCCACAGGTGGGCGCACGCCCAGAATATTTGTCTTCATATCAATGCTGCGTGTAGTTGAACAGAATCTCAATGTGAACTAAAGACTGGAGAAGAACATACTGGAGGACAGGAAACAAAATGCAGCAGGTTCATTAGAGCACAGAGATGGTAGAAGTCGTGCAGTGATCGTAGGGAACAAACGTCCCCTAGTGGTTTATAAAGAGTATCCAAATATCTATTTCTTGTGTCATCGATTTGAATTGTCCATATGTGTATTGTAAGGTGTCTTTACGTTTGTACTCCAGTCTAGCAGAGTGATCCAGGACATGTGGGTACTTTGTGGGTTATACTTGTAGGTGTTGTGTTTATTTCTGAAGATGATGCTCGTACTGCCAGCTCTGTTCCCTCAGTGATGTATCACGGGTTGAGATGGCGACAGCAGCTGTAATAGCTCTCTGATGAATGTCTGACTGCTCGCAGAGAGACCGGACTCCCCCTCAATGCCAAGGGGATGACAGGAAGGGCTGTGTGTGTGTGGAGTGAGTGAGTGTGTGTGTGTGTGTGTGTGTGTGTGTGTGACGTCAGCAGTAGAAACAGTGGGAGGCAGTGCGTGCGTACTTCCCTGTTTATGAGGGTAACTTGTTACACAAAGTTAAGTGCTGCTTTGCTGTGGGACAAACTGTAACCTTCCCAGCATGACTTCCTACATCACTTCTAGTAAGCTGCTGAATGTGCTGTGATTGTGCCATGATTCATTTGTTTTCAGTTATTAAGAGAGTAGAACTGTGGGGCAGCTCAGTGTGTACTAAAACACAAATATACAGGACAGACGCACTTTAGCTCTGACTGGTTTTTAACTTTATCTAAAGGCGCACTCACACCAGGCAATCTGTACCGGGCCCCCAGAGTCCACTTACTTTGACTACTGTGAATGCTCCGTACTGACTTCCTTGGCTCTGCACAGTTGGATGAGGTGTGCTTTGGAAGAATCAACCAAAACCACTCACAATAAGCCACAACGTCAGTAAAGTTGCCGTCATGTTCTCCGTTTTGTTCTCCATTGTGCTGACTCTGAGACCGCACTTCTTGTAAAATGCAGTTCACGATGACGTCGTAAAGCCATGTGTGAGTCGTATTTTGAGGTGATGACGATGTACGAGAGGTAACCATGTTCACACACTGTTGGGACTACAGTGATGTGAGTGCAGGCCAGTAGAGGACTGGGAGAGAGGAGGGGGGGGAATCCTGCTTCGGCGCAGTACGGAGCGACTGGGCCTAGTGTGAGTGTGCCCTAAAACACCGGGGTCGGCATCGGCCACCCTTGAAATCTGATCTAAGAGACACATTTAAATTTCAGTCAGACAACTCACCTTTGTATTTGTTTACAATAGTTTGCATTTGGCGTCCAGGCTCGGACCTCATCACTCCTCACAGTTTTATTTTACATGCAGAATTTTGAGGAGTGATGGGATGATATCTTAAACTCCCCCCCCCCCCCACCAGTCTGAGCCTACAGGTGGATGCTCTGCTGGTGGTGGAGCTGAGAGAGAGAGCAGAACTTCTGCAGGTCAGAGCCGGCGATGAAAGAGCAGAGTAAGAGAGCGGAGATCTTGCAGATTAAATTGACTGCCAATTTGGTGTTGTCAGGTGATTGTGGATAATGAAGTGTGAAATCAGTGCAGCTCGAGTTGTCTGCCTGAACGAGCTCACTGGCATCGCCTCATTTAATCCCTGAGATCACTTGGTTATTATTTATGACCTTTTCTTGGACGTGGAGTGCTTGGTCTCCCAGATGCTGCTGTGTCCGTTTGTTGTGTTTGACACAAATTTCAGGGCCGAGCCTGCATAAGTCAGGGCCTTAGCTAGGCAACCTCAGTCTGCGGGGAGCGCGCAGGAGCAAAAAGCAACGCCGCCCGTTGCTAGGTGAACTAAGCAATAGTCGGGAAAATATCTATCTCTTGAATGTACAGTATGTTTGTATGTTTCCACTCTTCAGTAGAAAGCTCTGACCGTTCTACTGCTGAGGAGGAGGAGACCAAAGAAGAAGAAGAAGGAGAGGGTATGTGTTCATGTAATCCTCAGGTCACAACAGGATGTGGGAGAGTTCAGACTCGTCCAGGAGCTGCAGCACTATAACGACCGCTTCACATTTCTACTGCTGGTTTAAACACACCTGGTACTCCCAAACTGTCGGACATTTCTTTACAAACTAGAACTCTCTCTCCGATGTCCCAGTGCGTCTTTAGACGGGAGCTCAGGAAAGTGGGACACCGTCTGTTGTGATCTGATTTTCCCTCCTATTGGAGCGCTCCACCTAAGTTGAACATTTTTAACTTCAGCGCAGTGTCAAAGCAACACATAGAAAATGAATAGGCTCCAGCGCGTCCTATCTGAAAGACCCTTAAAAGTGCAAATATGCTGCTGGGAATGGCAAGTCGGTGATTTATTGCCGGTTTAAAAATGTTCGTACTTTTAATTTCTTACACTCATCCTGAAAGTGAGGCTGTGTCTCAGCTCCTCTGAACGTTGAGGTCTTGGTGGATTGGTCCTGTTGCATGCATGTGCTAATAGATGCTCTCTGTTGTGGAAAACAAAACGGAGGAGAGAAAGATAGAAACCCAAATGAGGTACAGTGGAGATGGACTGAGGGAGAAGAGGGAAGTACAGTGAGCAGGGACAGGAGGCTCAGTGTGGTAAAAATAACATGTCGGACTGTAAGCGTGCCTGTTATCTGTAGCTGAACAAACCTGTGACATAAAAAGCTCAGGGGCGAGAGAGTGAGATACTCCCGACTTCTCTATAAATACTTCTGTAAGTCACATGAACATTTATGAAGCACTAATGGAAAGGAAGAGGGAGACTGGACATACAGAACCAAACATTCCTGCTGTGACAGTGTAAATACTTTGATATCATAAAAAAATTATTCTCTCACACTTTTGTTGTCTTATTATTTGGAAGCTTTAAGAGAGATGAATAAGGGTGAGAGAGACAGAGAGAGAGAGGAGTTCAAGTGCTGAGAGGAAAGATAAGATATGAAGCTATTAGTAGCTCTTGTGAGAGTTGGCTTCTAAATGTTGCTTGAGCTTGAAAGTAACACGCCGAGCTGTGAGGCTCTGGGAAATGTCTTTGCCCTGTGTGGAGCTGGAGCCAAGAGATTGACTGATGTGGGAGCTACATTAACCAGAGCAAAGATACTGTACCAGCATTTATAGATACCTGATAGATAGATACCTAGATTTAAAGGTCACATATTATCAGCCTTATTTAACAAGTTTGAAGAAGCTCCCTAAAACATGTGTGTGAAGTTTCTTGTTCTTAATCCACTCTGATCCTGTATATGATCATGCCTATAAACCCCTCTATTTCAGCCCTGCTCAGAACAGGCTGTTTCTGTGTCTGTACCTTTAAATGTAAATGAGCTGTGTCTGACCACGCCCCCTCTCTGGAAGGGCTTGGGTGTCTGGGGCTTTCTCGCTGCATGTCCTTTTGTCTACGGTGAAAAGGCAGAACAAACACCTAGTTGTGGGAGTGTCACCCACCTGGGGCAGGGGCTACTGCCCTTTGTGATGTCATGAAGGGAATGTCTCCAAACGGCCTGTTTGAGCACATATTTTCTGAAAAGTGGAGCAGGCTAAAGACGAGTTTATAGACAGACACATATTAGATTTAGAGAAACATGGTGAAGTGGATTTAGCATTATGTGACCTTTAATATGTCAAATTTTATCTCGTTAGAAGTCTCTAAGGCTCTAAAAAAAAAGTACTGTCTTGCAAAAAGATGTAGTGTTTAATTTAAGTACATTCTGCTCTCTGCACTGGCAGATATTTTTACTCTGTGCCGTTTCGCCTTCAATCTGAATGTAATGGAGGTGTAATGGTGGGACGCAGTGATCCCCCCTAGGTATCAGCAGAACCAGCAAGGGAACACATCTCTGTGTGTGTGTGCATGTAAAGCTCCCACTCCTTCCGTGCCAAAACATAATGTGAATTCACAGACTGGGACACAAATATTACAGTCGCGGAATCAATATGAATGTAAAAAGACGAGATGATGGGGCGCAGGTGACGCAGTGGTTAGTGCGCGCGCCTCATGTGTGGAGGCTGTGGTCCTTCAGGTGGGCGGCCCGGGTTCGAATCTGGCCTGTGGCTCCTTTCCTGCATGTCGTTCCCCGCTCTCTCTCTCCCTGATTTTGGGCTCTATCCACTGTCCTATCTCTCGATTAAAAGCCAAAAAAGACGATGCTGAGCTTAGTTAGGCTCTAGAAAAAGTCTAACAGTGAAATTATTTAGCAGATTAATCGCAAAATTTCAAGAGTAATCGTGATTAATCACATTTTAATCGCATTTTGAAATTATATTTTGCATATAAAATAACATTGTGAGCTTTTATTTGAAATCTAATCTGGAGTACTCTACTTGCTGTGTGCT